AGCGCCCGGCACTCTGTTGTATTTTTGTATTCTGTGCTCTTACTATTTCATGATAATGACATCATAGCATCCTAAGTAGTTGCAGAATCATGAAGATTAAAGGCTTAAAATATGAAAAATTCTTGTTTCTTTGAAAATTAGAAAGTTGTTGAAATTGTAACACATTTAAAAACTTATCATTTCAGTATTATTGGGGTCTGAATTCAGATCCTTGTACTTCTTCGGCAGGTGTTCTACCACTTGAGCCATCTCTAGCCTTTTTTGCTTTGAAACCTTTCATAGTTATTCACTTAGCCAGTGTGGACTGGCCTGGACTGTGAACCTCCTATTTACACTTGAGTAATGGGGATGACAAGCATGCACACCATGTCCAGGCTTTCATAATATTTAGTCTCATGAACTTTTTTGCCTGGGCTAGCCTTGAACACCACCATCTAAGTAGCGAGGATAAGAGGCTTGAGCGACTGAGCACAATTAATTCTTTTTCTTCTTTTTAGCGTCTCCCCTTTTCTTGGATAGAAATTGATATGAAATCCTCACAGAAAAATCCATAATAACTAGAGTTAGTTCTCTTAAGAAGTTAAGAACAGGATTCGCTGGCAGCGAGTGAGCATTATGTAGACAGAAATATATAGGGAATAATTATTGCTAGGAAGAGGGAAAAGGACCTAGAAAGACATTAACTAGTTCAGTTGGAGGCAGGACTAACAGAAAGAGTAAATCTCATTTAAATTCAGAAACCAGTTTTACAGTTCACTGGGACCTTGTGAAGAATTTTTTTTAGGTTATTAAACATCTGGGTATTTCATTACTGCTCAGGCAAAGCAATCTGTCTCTTCTGTGCCAGATATGAAGAAATCTTCACATTCAAATACTAATTTCAGTTCACTTTGTCAAAGTACAGAAGTGTTTGTCATATCTTAGTTTATGCAATTATTTTATATTTTTAATAGAGTTCACAGTTGATACCTATCAGTTTGATGTGATGGAAAATCCTGGCAAGTCATGGTAACATAAAAATAGTACAACAGGGCAGAATTTTGAAACTGATGACATTCATTCCTTCTGTGTAGATTTCCCGGCTGTTAATTGGGTTCTTCAGTTTGATTGTCCAGAGGATGCCAACACATATATTCACAGAGCGGGTAGAACTGCCAGGTAAGTGTGCGGCTCCTACCTCTTTTTGTTTTGGTTGGCATAACTATCTAGTAATAAAACATGTATTCCAAGTGCACATATACAAAGAATGGAGGAATGAGCTAAGTGAGTGCTAGTTTGGCTCTTTTCCTTGTGTGTGTGTGTGTTTTTTTTTTTTTTTTTTGAGACAGGGCCTCACTAGGTAAGCCCAGGTTGGTTTTGAACTTGCAGTCCTTCTACCTCAGCCTCTCAGGCCTTTAAAAATAATACATGTTGTTGGGGCTGGGAAGGTGGCTCAGTGGTAGAGCGCTTGCCTTGCATGCATGAGGCCCTGGGTTCGATTCCTCAGCACCATATAAGCAAAAAGAAAAAAGCTGGAAATGGTGCTGTGGCTCAAGTGGTAGAGCGCTAGCCTTGAGCTGAAGAGCTGAGGGACAGCGCCCAG